TTCCTTTGGCGCCTTTGTATATTGGTCCCTTGTTAATTTGAACTGTCTGTATTTGTTATTATCAGTAGTTTGTGTATATATCGCCAAGTAGAACCTTTTGAGTTTTAGCTTCCTGAGAGTGCGATTACTTATGACTTAAGCTTGTTTGAAACTTGTGAGGACCGTTTGTGGGAAACTGGTTCACTGAACATAAGGTTTCGTTCAGTAGGCAATCCCAGTGAGCATCCATATAAAATATAGGGTGACGGACAAGTTCAGCGGTTTTCAAGACCAACGCTTGTTGTTAAAAGGATGTTCTATTATAGCTTCGACAGTAAAATTGAAGCCTACGATATGCATTTCGTCCTCTTTGGGACTTTTCAGCGGAATGTACTTGCAAGTCTGAAACCAGACTGCTTTTCTCGAGTCTGCACTTAAAAAGCTCTAGTTAAGCGTCGCATTAATATCACGGCTAACATTTTTAATACTATATTCGTTAATCTGATCCCTATGTGATTGTCATAATACGACTTTTTTCCGCTTTAATCGACCAGCATAATCAGTGATTGAAACAAGTTGGATGCGATTACCCACAGCTATCAGCATCTACTTAAGATCTCCGTCAAACAAAACGCTAAGACTGGATAGCCATCCTTACAAATCTCAGGTAATAGCTTATCAGGACACGCCGCTCATCATCGCTTATATTTCCTATAGCATTTACAAATTCATTATGAATTGGAGAACTTCATCATTTGGTCATTCAGGTTGACCGAGATCATGGGCTGAAGGCCTGTCGAGTTGATCCCCAAAGTATTTTACCATCGACCAAATCTCCTGGATTGGAAATGACCAATAAGACCACACATTTCGAGGAAGTCTTACTAGCAGTAAGATTCCTAACGCTAGTTTCTTCGATAAATTTAAACAGTTGTATACCGTTACCGAAACCGGAACGAGAGGCATAATGAAAAAAAGATGTTAGTCACACACTCAACTGTTTACAAGTAGTAAATACTGCAGTTCATTATCAGCTGAGATGATAAAAGCGACTTCAGTGGAGTACTCAAAGCAGAAACTTGATATATTTTAAAGGAATGGAGAGAGTATTTCACTATGATTAACATATAATTTGATTTTACACGATCAGCATAACTAAGAATCAAATCGGAAGTATCGAGGACACATTGCTGCTTGATAGGGAAGCCGAAAAGGAGAAAGCGGCAACTCGTCGGTTCGAAACCAAGTAAACAACTAAGCTCCACTGTCCATTTCCGTGCATAACGACTGTTGGTATTTTTGAGAGAGAGTCAGCAGACAGTGTTCTTGTAGATCGTAGTGTTTCGATTTAATCAGTAACAGAATTCATTTAGTTGTGATTCCGTAAATATGTTTCAACAAGGATTTCTGAATAGGTGAAGAATACTCGTACTACATGTGGGTCCCGACGGTGGCTGCTACCTTGACGTGGTGGTCGGGCTTGCCTATCGTGATGATCCAACCGAGCTATACTGGCTGGAACATATGTTCCTGAAGGTCCTACCATGCCAGACAGGTCGATTGGAGAACGATGAGACTAAAAGCAGCTACCCAAGGTCTGAGGGCGAAGTCGTACTGCTGACTGCAGAGGGGTGTGACAGCAGTAAGGTGTTTCCCTTGGACAACCAGCATCTGCAGCGATGCTGCCTTCTCACAAGGAAGGAAGGGTTAGAAAAGGTCGGCCCTAAAAATGTCACACCTCCCCTAACTCACGCATTTCCGTCTCCTTGGGTAAGGGTGCCCACTAAGGGCCTTTAAGAACGGAGCTAATCCTCTAAATACCTTTGATAAAAAGGCCGTGCGTGACCGGCCTCAAGCAGTTGTCCCTTGGACTCTGCGGTCACGCACCAACACTAATCTATTTTCCTTTTCAGGTTCCTCAAGAAACAACCTTCCACGGTGTGGGCAGCCGGGAAGTGACAACCGCCCTCATACCCATAACAGCACGCGACTACATGTGGGTATTATTCAGTAGGCAATGCTTCGTGAAAATACATAGTGGAAATAGCTAACTGTATATCCTACATCTAAATGTAACATCCACAGAGTCTACTTATCTGAAAGATCAACCGTAAGCTCAGCCAACCACTGGACGCATTACGCACCAGCCAACCTACCACTGTGAGCATCAATCAGACGACCTACTTTGTTCATAATTTTAGGGCAGCCTGTTACGTGGCCAGCCGCAGGCAAGAGAAATTTGATTTAACCAAAGGCATTGAGACCGACAACCGGACAAAATTAATTAACATTCCCATAAAATCACCATTTGCAAATTAGTTGATCTACAACGAGAAAACGAGAAAATGTAATTTCCGCATTCAAAATTACGGATTTCTTTATAATTTTGCTGCACAATTACTGCCAGTTATTAAATACACCTAGGTTTATCAACATTCCTAACCTTATTATACTACTCGTAAATTTGTACTAAGTAGATTGGAGGTTGTTTAGAAAATTTCTCCACTTCTGTATAAAAAATTCTCGGTCTTATTTCTTTCATTCCCAATTGTTTGAATGTCATCTAAGAAGTCAGTCAACTAGTATATTCGATTGTCGTGCTGTATCAGTAAAACACTGAAATGTTCAACGTTAATTTCTGAACCATTGGCCGTTATTGTCTAAGGCTTTGTGTTTGGTGTAAAGTGGTGAGATTGTCATACATGTTTGTACATTTTATTATTCAACTATCAAACTAATACCTTGTTGATGAACACAAGTAGAATGGTTATTTCAGTAGTTTTCCTTTTTCCTTTTTCCATTAATTTAGCTAACTCTGGTTTATCTTACAGTGTATTGTTTATATGGATCCCTTATGAAATAGAACATTCCAATCATAAGAACAATACTAAGGTATTCTTCTATTCAGCAACATTGGATGCAAAAGAACGAGATGATTCCATTGATGCGGAACAATCAGTTAATCATCAAAGAGAAACTGAGCAAACATTAACCAGTGAATCGATTACAATTACGAAATCACTTTTACAACAACTGACACGAATTGTTGGAATGAATTTTTCAATCAATAAGAAGACCAACAATAAACGTGGTAAATTTGTTTGAACTATTCCAGTTAGAATGATGTTGTATAATGGAGAATGATTTTTGAACGTTTTAAAATTGTCGATAAGTTTGTGGAGATTATTGCATGTCACTGATATCATGAACCGATCCTAGTTAGCTATCTACTGAAAACCAGAAAACGCCGGATTTCTGGTTGGTCTTAGTGTGACACTCCTCACGTTTGCTCATCCGTGAACTTAGGACATTCTATCTCGCGTATGAAAGCTCAACCTCTTATTATGTGTTTAACTCAGGTAGGTTCATGTTATCAGAAAGGTCTTTTATTCAATATACGTTCCAACTAAGTCATGCTTCGAGTAAAATATCCACAGCAATTGAATATTAGATCAAGAACAATTTAATGGTTTGATGCATGAAGTACAATTAATGTTGTCAGTTATTACAAATGTAAATTCAAATCTCATACAATGTTCAAGTATTACAATTACAGTTGTTTCTTGTCAAGGAATTTCAAGATTTGTTTCTAATATGAAATTATTGAAAATTGTATTAAACATAAAGTAGTTTATAAAACACTTTTTATACTGGTCAATCAGTCAGTAGTGATCACTGTTTTACCGACTCTGTTTTAGTGTTAACTAAGATCTTCCAATCATGCTTAACCTCGTTGACTTTCGCTCTGTGTGGTTCATATTGGAATTTCGACAGCATTGTTAATTTATTCAATGTCCCAACAATTATTTATTGATCGATACTATTGAAAATCTCGAAAAGTATATGCAGAGAATACCATTCCTAATGGGAGTCATCCGTCATCTTAACAACAATTAAATCAATATACTTTATTCATCAAACATTGAAATAGATAATGATGAAAAGGATAAGTTGTTCACTTTTTAATAGTCTTACTTAGAGTGGAATAAATTCCTGACTACGAATCACTATTCATTGATGACAGAATGAACAAAGTAGGCAAGAATAGTGATCTGGGTTTACTGATTTTAGGTCATTTAAATATAGAGTTCAAATAATGCGTTAACGTATGTGAAATCTGTTAATGTTTTTAATCCTTATTCAGATATTTTTGTCATGTGATAATTGCACAAAAATTCATATTATTTGTTTGGATGTACTGATTGAAAGGTTACGTAATCAGTCGCTGGGTTGTAGGGAATCACATGAGTCTGCAGATGAATTTTTATTGAATTTAAATATGATTTCGGAGTACATGAACTAATAATTAGCCTGTTCAATTACTTTTGAACAAAGTAAACGCGAATATATATTATGGTCATTATCGTTGTTGGAAATAATACATTTTGGAATAGCTACCATGATAGCGATTCGTTGATTGCCGTCTCATCTAATAAACTGGTTTTACGTTCAATATAAGTCTTTTTCAGCAGCTGATAAATCTTTCATTTGTGTTTATGTTCAATGTTTTTCGTTTAGTTGGTGTGTGTCGAATTTTGTGGCAAGAGCTTAGATTAATTAGCCTTAGAAATAAAAAGTCGCTTAGTAACCGTATCCTCAAAGTTTTCGATCCTATTGGATTGCTCACCCGAGACCCAAATTCAATATTATCGGTGACCTTCAGGTTTTCACTTAAGATATTTTTTTTAAATAACGAGTCTAATTATAGTGCTTCACATTTTCAACTCTATTCAGTCTACGAAATAGAGCATTGGTCACCTAATACCATCCATTATATAAGTTTCTAAGTGTGATCGAATTTCATTTGTCACAGCTTGTCATCAAAACTTTTAGGATCCAAGTATCTTAAAAGCAAATTACTGTTATTTACCACTATCAGCAGAACTAATATTAGAATAAAGATTGCAGAAACTGTAGTCAGTTTTCATTATGAACTGACAGCTTCAATAATTTGCTCAAGTTTTCCAGTTTGTTTTACACATATTTCTTGTTTCTAATGTCATTGTTTTCTTATGATACAGATGTTACCCATTCTCAATCAAAAATAACACGGTCGAAAACTTTCACCTCCGGCTTAACTACATCAAAACGTACAGTTTGTGCAAATGGAGTACGCCCAGCAACTAATCCAATTTTAAGGTTGGTAAATTTTTTTATACATATGGTATTAGCTTCGAAGTATTAAATTAAAAAGATGTTTCAAACAATGAGTTAGTTAGTAGACCTTCGGATTGAAAGTTCAGTGACTTAATTCAAATATTGACAAAAAGTTGATCAATTAATGTCATCTAATAGCCGAACATCGATCCCCTTAATCAATCTTACTTCCAGTTGGTGTCTTGATGTTAACTAATGGTTTATTTAGGTTTGTGCTAATGATGCTCAGAAGAACAATGAAAGCCTCAGGAATAAATCATCCAGCTCACAGAACAAGACTCCAAATTAGCAGACATCGAATGGGAAGATTTTGTACTGACCAAAAGAGTTTGAAAATCAGTCCTGTCCCCAGCTTCTACTTTTTTTGTAATTAAAAGGGTCATATGCTCAATAAATCAAGCAAACTCATGTTATGTGTTAGGCTAATGTGAACTCGAATTAACTTACTTAATCCTGTTACCACCTATGGAGCATAGGTTACCGACCAATATTCTTCAACCAAAACTTTGTTCTGGGACTTCTTTTCCATTTCTGTCGTTTTTTCATGTATGTCCCTAACTCTTGGCCTAACGTGTGCTTTGGTCTACCTCCTTTCCTTTGATCTTGAGGGCCCCGAGTTAGGGCTTGTCTCATGACTCAGTTGACAGATTCCCGAAATGTGTGTCTTACTTACCTGTGGCACTTCTTCCTTATTCCTTCCCCACTTTGAATCTGGCTTGTTATTTCTCATAGTATGTTGTTACTGATGGTGTCTGGCCATTGTATCCAAAGTATTTTTCGTAGACAGCTTAATTAAACAACTGTATATTTTTGTACGATGGCTTTTTTAGTTCTCCAAGTTTCCGCTTCATATAATAGAATAGTTTTGATGTTTGTACTCAAAACTAGCTTTTTGGTGTAAGTTGACAGTTGTTTCGGTTTCCAAAAGTTATTCAGTTGTAGAAACGCTGCACTTGCTAATCCGCACCTTCACATCTGCATCAGATCACCGTATTCATCAACGATGCTGCCCAGATGTGTGAATGTTTCCATCTCTGCCAAAACTTTTCCATCCATTGTGATTTGGTCGGTGCTCACTGTGTTGAATCTAAGGGTCTTACCTTTTACCTTGTATATAGTGAGACATGCTCGACATCGCTTATCACAATTTGTATTTGTCAGTGTGTGTGGGATCATCTGTGAAGTCGAAATCGTCCAGCTGCATCCTAGTTTTCCATTGTGTTTCGTGGCCGTATTAAACTTTTGTGAGGCCGTTTGACCAATTGTACAGTGCTTCTTTAGTTTCACTTTCATCTTGACCACTACCAAGTGATGATCTGAAGCTGTCAGCTCTTCACTCGGTTCTCACATCCTCCATCATCTTTCTGAACTTTTTATTGATGTAGATATGGTCAAGTTGGTTCTGTGTAGTATGATTCGGTGAGATAGATGTTGCTTTTTGTATGCGTTCCTTTTGGAATATGGTGCCGTCTTTAACCATTTTATTGAAGGCACGTATATTTATAAATCTCTCACCGTTTTCGTTCCTTTCTCCCAGCCTATGTCGTCCCATGATGTCTTCACATCTAGTGTTATTCATGCCAACCTTGTCATTTAGGTCTCCCATAAGAATGATTAAGTCCCTTGTTGGACATTTCTCGATGAATAACGATAGCTTCTCATAGAATAGATTTTTATCGTCTTCATTGTTATCGTTGGTGGGCACATAACACTGAATGACATTCATTATGATCCTCTCTTTCTTCGTCTTGAAGGATGCGTTGATCACCCGGAGTCCATGAGATTCCCATCCAATCAGTGTCGTTTGTGCATCTTTGGATAGCATCAGTGCAACTCCTTGTATGTTTGAGGCATTTTCTTCTTCATTGCCAGAAATCTCATTAATCTCTTCTCGAGAAAGTGAGAGAAATTTTTTCAGGTAAATCATCATTCTCAGATAATGCATCACGATCAAAAGTAAAACTACTCCGATCGAATATTCTGTATGCTTATCATCAAATGGATAATACTATACAATCAGTTAGCCATTTATAATGTCTTTTCTGTTTGATTGACTAAGATTTCATGCCTACTTAGACTATTTTACTTATTCTGTAGAAATAGATTGAGACATAACATTAATGAATGCAAGCGATTATCAGTCTTTTAAGAGAGGGAATGTTTTTTTTTACATAAAAGTTTGCATCAACATGCATGTTATCATTCATTACTTAATAATTAGTCAACAGAAAAAATTAGTCATCAACAGAAACTTTCAGAGGTTTACTTTCTCAGTCACTTAGTGTGGAAATACAGAGGTGATTTGAAATTTTTTGCTATCCTTCAATTAGTATTCAGACTAGAACTTTATTTAAAAACTACTTAAGTGTAAAACACGGCATTTGACGTATAATTTATTTTCCACACACACACACCTATCAGTCATGACAGTCATCAAACTTATCACTTCATTCATGATCGACTTTTTAGATAGTAGTTTATTGAAGGGAGACAATGAATAACACATTAAGAGAAGAGGATTAGATGGAAGGCTGGTCATTTCCGAAGCCAATTACATACATAACAGAAAGTTATTCATTTCTCCTTGTTCAAACCACACTTTGAACTAAGCCACATGATTACTGATGAACAAAATAACCTACACTCGTATATAGTATTAATGCTTGGGAAGTTTGAAATTTCCGATTAAATGTTAACAAGTCTCCTAACAAGCATTGTTCACAACGTAAGAAACCTCTTAGTAACGGACTCAGAGAAATGATCTTTTCTTAAATTACTCAGTACACTTACCGATTAAGTGATTCCTTCTCTCATAATGAAAATTGATCATAAACTTCATAAATGTCACAATCCACATAAAAACACCATAACATTGGAGTTTTGTCCCCCATTTAAAGACTAATTTTTGATTTTAATAGCGTATGATACTTTCTGGCTAATTAAGGTAGTAAACTTTCTCAATTTTGCTAAATATCACCGCTACAATGAACCTAAATGAAAGAAAGTAATAGCATACGGAATATTACTTGTCATATAATTATATTCCTTACTTATTTATAATAATTTTCACATTTAATTACTATTTATGATTAACCTATTGTGATTACATTTTGATTAGGAAAAGTTGTGAACAGAAATATGAAAATGATATGGTTAAATCACTTGAAGATAATCCGAAACAAAAAACTGGAATTAAACAAGTCACATTCAGTGAAATGGTAATCATATATATTTATTTATAGTTTCACATTAAAATAAAATTTGAAATCATTAATCAATCATCATTGTTAGACCACCATTAGAAACCTGGAAGCACTGGACGGCCGTTTCGTCCTAGTATGGGACTCCTCAGCAGTGCGCATCCACGACTCCTGCGAGGAGCAGGAGTCACTTTGCTTGTCACAAGTCTGGCTTATTTTTATCTGACTATAAATATTTAGTCATGCTTCATCAAATGAAGTTGGTCCACTCATCTTCTCCGCTTTGCTGTGCTTTGCTTTGTTTCGTTTCACTTCACTTCACTTTTATGCCTTTCATTCTTATGTTTCTCCGCATACGCGAGTGTATAAAATCAATTCATTCAACTTAAAGCATATTGGGCTTCTCATTACGACCGTCACTAAACAGGTTTATCCTGAATGTAGTATACAGTGATTAAATGGGAAATTTGTTTTATTAGCGTATGTAATCGTTCATCCAAAATGGAGTTAGATCCTATGGCACTAGAAATTAAAGACTTAATCAATCAGTTGAAAGACTTGATAATAAACTCAGAATTTGACAGAAACAGTTGAGATTTCTTATTTTGGCTTAGTAGTAAATAGTCAGAGGTTGGTTACAAATGGCGAACAATTATTTCTGGAGACAAAAGACAAGTGCAAACCGAAAGGGAAACCGATGCTTTACATTTAAGGCTAGCAAACAAAAGAGGATTTTGTATATTCCATAGTTATAAAGGTCTGAGAATTCCATGATTGATTCTAAGGAGTCTATCAAATTTATATATCAATATTTTGACAAAATCTAATCATGACCTCATTCGCAGTCGAATCAATGACTATCTCTACCTTATACATCTTACTGGATCTCAAGTTCTTTTTTTAGTTAGTGAATTATCAAAAAACCAGGAAATATTGAATAACTTTCCTGTCCATGTTTTGAATTCTTCAGTAATTAGTATACAAAATATCCCTATCAATGAGTAATTGAACTAATTACCCTCAAATCTCACTTGAAAAGAGTTACATTTGGATTAGTTAGTTAAAATCCAGTGGTTCATGATTTCAACTATAATCAGTATGTAATATAGTGCAACTACTGTCTTGAATTATTACTGAGTACTTTTAACTTCTAAATCTATCATTACTTGCTTACTTACTTACGCCTGTTACCCCAAATGGAGCATAGGCCGCCCACCAGTTTTCTCCAACCAACTCTGTCCTGGGCTTCCCTCTCCAGTTCTGTCCAATGTTTGCTCATTCCTCTCATATCTTTCTCTATTTCTCGGCGTAATGTATTCTTTGGCCTTCCTCTTTTCCTTTTGCCTTGAGGGTTCCATGTGAGGGCTTGTCTCGTGACGCAGTTAGGTGTTTTTCGTAGTGTGTGTCCTATCCACTTCCACCGCTTCTTCCTGATTTCCTCCTCCACTGCAATCTGGTTTGTTCTCTCCCACAGTGAGTTGTTGCTGATGGAGTCTGGCCAACGAATACGAAGTATTTTGCGTAGACAGCTGTTAATAAACACTTGTATCTTCTGGATGATGGTTTTGGTAGTTCTCCATGTTTCCGCTCCATACAGTAGAACTGTCTTGACATTTGTATTGAAAATCCTGATTTTGGTTTTGTTTGAAAGTTGTTTGGAGTTCCAGATATTTTTCAACTGTAGAAATGCAGCCCTTGCTTTGCCAATCCGTGCCCTCACATCTCCATCGGATCCACCTTTCTCATCGATGATGCTGCCCAGATATGTAAAGTTGTTAACGTCCTCCAAGGCATCTGCATCAAGAGTGATTTGTTTGGTGCATGTTGTGTTGCATCGGAGAATTTTGCTCTTTCCTTTATGTATGTTGAGACCTACTGCTGTAGAGGCTGCTGCTACACTGGTCGTCTTCTCTTGTATTTGTTGTTGAGTGTGCGATAGAAGAGCCAGGTCATCTGCGAAGTCCAGATCGTCCAGCTGCGTCCTAACTGTCCAGTTGATACCGTGCTTCCCTCCAGATGTTGACGTTTTCATAATCCAGTCGATCACCAGGAGAAAGAGAAAGGGTGAGAGTAAGCAACCTTGCCTCACACCGGTCTTCACCTCGAAAGAGTCTGTCAGCTGACCTCCGTGCACGATTTTGCAGTTGAATCCATCATAAGAATTCCGTATGATGTTAACTATTTTCTCAGGCACCCCTTAGTGTCGTAAAAGCCTCCACAGTGCTTTCCTATCCACGCTATTGAATGCTTTCTCGTAGTCGATAAAGTTGATATAGAGTGGTGAGTTCCATTCAAATGATTGTTCCACAATGATCCGTAATGTAGCAATTTGGTCAGTACATGATCGATCCTTACGAAATCCGGCCTGTTGATCTCGAAGTTGGGCGTCTACGAAGTCCTTCATTCTGTTTAACAATACCCTGTTGAAGACTTTGCCTGGTATTGAAAGAAGAGTGATGCCTCTGTAGTTTTCACACTTGCTGAGATCTCCTTTCTTTGGTATTTTGATGAGGTATCCTTCTTTCCAATCTGATGGTACTTGTTCCTTATCCCAAATCTTCTTGAAGAAGATGTGAAATATTTTTGCAGTTGCTTCTACGAACGTTCCATGTACCTAAAAAAATGGTTGCTCTGGTTGTCAGAAGAGGCATCAGCCCCGTGACTTCCGAGGGAACTCGGCTTTCATCACGCGACGTCATAATTCTTCTTCCAACTCCCAGGGCAGAGTTAAAATGGTTTGAATTATTTTTTCTGGTTAGCGTTTTTTTGGCAAGTTAGTTTTTGACGGAATGGGGTCGCCAACCCCATGTCCAACCCTCCTCCTTTACCCGGGCTTGGGACCGGCAGTAGCCCCGAAGGTTCTACTGGCGGAGTTCTAAATCTATCATAACTATGTGTTATTCTAAGTTTATTTAAAAGTACACAAATCAATAGGTATTTGGCTTAAAGTACTTCATCCTGTGGTTACTTTTAACTACATGAAAGAAAATAACGTCGATATCTCCACTGATTGAATGTTCCATTTGTTTTGATATATGCATTTTATATTTTTTTATTTCTCATGGTTTAAAGCAATAATGAAGTCTACTTATCACATATGTATTTACATATGCATGTTATCTTTTCCAGGTTAAGTTTGATTCAATTGAAGATCTTGGTGAAAAAGTCACATTGAACACTCCCTTAACTGTCAGCCATTCAGAGGCAGTACAAACACTAACACCGTCAATAGTAAAGAAAATATCAACAGAAACACCACCAACTCCACAAACAACAACAACCACACTTACTACTAACACTGATATTACTACGAATATTCCTGATAATACTGTTACTGTATCAAATGGACAAAACAATGACGAATTATTTCTTGAAGTAAATAAAGAATATTCTTCTGAAGAACAGACTGAGACTCTACTAAGTAATTCTTTAAGTTTGACATTTTCATAGATATGCATTTTTGAAATCTTATTAATTCAATAGCATATTTAATTATTGTTTATGAATATCATATCGCTTTGAATATTTTTTACGTACTTATTTACGCCTGTTACATCCAATGGAGCACAGGCCGCCTATCAGCATTCTCCAACCTACTCTGTCCTGGGCCTTCCCCTATCCTTCTTTCCAATCGTTGTTCATTCTTAACATGTCCCCCTCCATTTCCAGACTTAATGTGTTATTTGGTCTTCCTCTTTTCCTTTAGCGTTGAGGATTCCGAGAGAGGGCCTGTCTTCTACCGCAGTTGAGTGCTTTCCTCAACGTGAGCCATAGCCACCTTTAGCACCTCTTCCTGATTTCTTCGTCCGCTGAACCTCGTTTGTTCTATTCCACAGTAGGTTGTTGCTGATGACGTCTGGCAAGCGGATCTGAAGTATTTTGCGTAGAAAACTTTTATAAACGCTTGTATCTTCTAGACGATAATTTTTGTAGTTCTCAAGTTTCCACTGCATACTGTAGAACTGTCTTGACATTTATATTGAAAATTCCGATTTTGGTGTTGGTTGATATTTGTTTGGTGTTCCAGATGGTGTTCAATTGTAGAAATGCAGCTCTTGCTTTGCCAATCCACCCCTTCATATCCGCATCAGATTCAGCTTGTTCGTCAATGATACAGCCCATATATGTAAAGGCTTTTACATTCTTCAAGGCATCTCCATCAAGTGTTATTTGGTTGTTGCATGTGATGTTGTATCGGAGAATCTTGCCTTTCTTGTTGTGTATGTTGGGGTCTACTGAAGTAGATTCTGTTGCTAAACTTACCGTCTTCTCTTGTATTTGTTGTTGTGTGTGCGATAGAAGAGCCAGATCATCTGCGAAGTCTAGATCGTCCAGCTGCATCCCAACTGTCCACCCGTATCCGGTGCTTCCCTTGAATTTTTTTTATCAGGTCTTGATAGTTCATAGCTAGTGTTAATGATGATTCCTTTTTTCTGGCTTACGTATTAAAGAAAGTGATATGTTTTATCGACAGCTGAACCTTTGTTAGTTAACAGCTAAATCAATAAGGACAAAAGGTTATTTAGTAGATATTTACTTGAACACCATCATCAAAAACCTTCAATAATTATTACACCGCCGTTAACCAGGCAATATGAAGAACTTTAACCTGGCTCACGTTAACAGACCGTGAAATCATGTCCATGTTGATCGCCCCTGAATGTCTACCAACAGTGGATGAAATATTTTATTCAATAAATAAACTGCTTTAAGAACTTTCATACATCATAATTCTTTCATCAATCTAAATAAAGCTAGGAAAATAATATTTTCAGAATAAAATGAATTCATTACATTTCAGAGCTTCTCACCAGCTGCAAATTGCCTAAATCTCTTATAGTAATATTATTATAAAGATAATTTTATTACATTCAATGATCAATGAATCTTAGTTCCAAACAACACAGGAAACAAGAAGCGGAGACAACAAATTTATTCACATACTGGTTAAGATTGATGAATATTTCAATAATAAGGATGAAGTTATAAAAAGAAGATGACGTTGTGAATGATTTTAAAGAGACAATAGATATTTTTAAAAAAAGCATTTACATAGAATGATAGTTAATGTATCCATTTAATATAAAATTTTAGTTATCTTCGTTATTACCACCTCTTTCTCATTTTTTTTAAACTTCATCTTTAACATTTATAATACTAATCAATCTTAACGATTATGTTAATAAATATATTTATTGTCTCTGCTTCTTGTTTCTTATGTGGTTTTGAGCTAAACTTGATTGATTACTGTATGCAATAAAATATTCTTCTAATAATGTAACTAATACAGATCTATGGTGATACGTGGAGAAATTCGAAGACTTCACTTCTACCTAAAATTTATGCTGATGATGTAGTTCAAAAGAATAATGTAAGCTTCACAATCAAAACATCCAGCTGCGAGAACGTAACTCAACCATAAACAAATTTTGGCAATTCACATCTGTTAGGAAACCTTGAATTATAATCAATTCATGCTAATTTGTAAATATTGTTCTCCTTCCTTCAATTAAATACATTGTTATTTCCAATCAAAAACAACTAGTAAATCCATTTTAACAGACAGCTTAACTAAGAGTTACTTCCATTTTTTTTGATTGTATGATATTTTTCTGTTTATTATAAAGATGATTCATTCCATATAATAGATTATAATACTATTAGCCAGTATTTCTGTTTTATTTTTTTTTTTATATAGCTAAATCAACTTCATGTCCTAGTCATTTGATACAACATACATTAACAAATCATTCAAGACCAACATCATTATTTGAAAAAGGTTCCGATTATCACTGTTATTATAATGATCAAAAATATGAACAATTTCCGCTTTCAGCTACTGTATTATTAGCTATACCTGAAGGTGGCGAAAATGACTACTATGCTGATTCACCACAATGCTTAACAGTTAAAGAACTGAAAGAATTAGGTTTATATGCTAGTGAAGATGATGATGATGATGATGATGATGACGAGAACGAAGATGAAGAGGATGAGGGTAACAGAAATAACCATACGAACGATGATGAAACAGAAGGAAATATGCCTGAATTAGACAATACATTGTCAGATGACAGAAATAACAGTTCTAGTTTCATCAATGAAACTGTATCCAACTTTACTGAAATACATATTCCAAACAACATTACTCTTACACATCATGAAGAAGTGATGATTTCATAATCACACATATCTCTTAGAGTTATGATTCACTTTGTAGAAATATCTTTTCTCATCATATTACCACATATTAAACAATTTTTTTTTCTCTCAGCTCAGTATGAATTTCATATTAGATTTCTATAATTTCAATTATTTCTTGTTAACTACTTTTTATTATTATAGTAGTTTATATATATTTGTTAAAAGTTAATTGTAGCCAGTATAACTACATTGTTTAATAAAAAAAATTTAATGAACAATACATTATTCTTTTGTTATTTAAAGAACTCAACTAAACAACTTATTGTAAAATCAATTCAAATAAATCCCACATAAGTTTTAAACGGAGTTCATGTAAAAGTATATCCTTTTAGAATTTCTTTCAAAATTATCTAGATATCTTCAATTAGAGTTATGGAGATTAGTGTTTTTACACATTTGAAATCATCAATCAATAATTGTTAGACTACCATTAGAAACCTGGAAGCACTGGACGGCCGTTTCGTCCTAGAATGGGACTCATCAGCAGTGAGCGTCCACGACTCCTCTACCTCGCAAGACTCGACCTGGCACCTCCGGTATTGTGCGCAAATGCCTAACCTTTGAACCACTGGGCCGTTTATCAGGAAGTTGTATATTATTATTTAGAAATGTCTGTATGAAGATTAATGAATGTAAAAGCAACTTTGTAATTAGCATACATGTTTATTTTACCAATAAGCTATTCGTGAATGTTCATCAATAACTTCCAGTTAACTATTTATAGGTATCATTATCAATAATTACTTATAAAATCAATATTGGGTAGATTATCACTTAAAAAAATAATATATTTGTAATATTATGATGAGTAGGAAAATTAAATCTGCTGAACAATTTACATTTTGGGCAAGTAATTTACATAAGTTACAACATAACCGAATATTTCAATGATAACAGGTATGCAAAGCAACTCAAAATATTAAATATTTGATTATGAGAAATAATAAGAAGCTCAAGAAAATAAGAATCAGTTTTCTATGATAGAATCTGAAAACATTAACAACGACGCAACATAAGGAATAAACCATATTCTATGCAGAACAAGATCATTTGTGTTAGAAAATTGAATAACAGACACATCATTAAATAATTATAATATGTGAAACATAAAAACTGTATCCACAGTTAATAAGTGAAATAAAAGTTGACAACTAAAATAGTATGAAATTACCATAAAATAACTAGTTGAAATTATAGTAATGAACTATATTGCACGACTTCATTCATTGTCTAGTAGACGATGAAGTTGAACTTCACTGGTCACTACTTCTTCGGCAGAACTCTGAGAATTTCCTTACAAAGCCAGTCACTAGTGAGCACATGATCGGAACATGAAACTCAACAATCATCATCACCCTATGATGGCAGTTATTATGTGCTCTTAAGTAACTAGCTTCAAACGTGCTAGATGCGAGACAGTTATCCATCGAAGATAATGGATGAGGTCGCGGAACATCATGGTCTGATTGAAGTTAGATATTAAAACCGTTGGAGGCCTATTCAATGGTCTAAGGGTTAAGAGTAGATCCTGGGTTCGATTCTTGCGTGCAGGCGTTATGGATGCGCACTGTTGATGAGTGCCATACCAGGAAAAAACAGCCATCTAGTGCTTCTAAGTTTCTAATGGTGGTCTAATATTGATAAATTTTATGATTTCAGTGAAACTCAACGATATCCATGACCTCATAATGACAAAAAAATTTATGGTAATAGCCATCTGTAGAATAGTTGTTATATGGTGACCAATGTATCACTAGTTTCTTGACGTTCGGTATCCTACGTGTTCTTAGACTTCGTAGTTTATTCGGCCAGACAATCGTTACTGAATAGCGCCTGACGGTTTATGAATCAGAAGGCGAATACAAAGTGTTGAATACGTTTGCTGTGGCACAACACAAAGAGAAGGGCAAGCAAGTCAGCTAGTGTTCAAATCGACGAATTGGCGAATGAATGAATAAAATTAAAATGTACATATATATGCATAGTAAAATGTCTGAGTCATCGAAATATTTAAGAGAATAATATTAAACCAAGTAGGATGCATATTCGCCTAAGCGGTAAGCAATGTTCAGTTGTACCAGCTCATACAAACCAGACAACAGTAAAAGCCAATGGTACACATAAGTTGTTGCTATAGCAATGGCTTGGTTAAATACGTTGATCAAAAGGCTTGACCAAATTAAATATGGTTCCTACCGAAATAAAATTACCATGAATGAAACAATGAGATTATGCAAGAAAGAATCTGATTTACTTAGGCCAGTCACCCTTCGTCTAACTCTGTCCTCTAGACAGTGATCTCCAGTCTACTTTGTCCTGTGCCCTTCTTTCCAGTCGTTCCTAAGTGCTAGTCATTCTTTCTACGTCTGCCTCCGATGCTCGATGAAAAGTCTCTTTTGGTTTCTCTTTTTCTCTTTTTTTCCTGAGGATTTTAAGTTATGACTTGCTTTGTGATACAGTCTAGCGATTCTCGCGATACGTATCCTATCCACCTCCTGCGTCTCTTCCTAATTCCCACTTCAACTAGAAGCTGGATTGTTCTCTTCCACAATAGTTTACTGCTAATGTTGTTCAACGAACGGTTCCGAAGTATTTCACGCAGATAAAGTTTTGTAAATACCAGCATATTTTAAATTATTGTTGTAACAGTTAATCAAGTTTTCACTCCATACCATGAAAATGTCTTGACATGTGTAATTAAAATTCTGATTTTGGGGTTGGCTGAGAGACAGTTGTTTCAAGTCGAGGATGTTTTTCATTCATAGAAGTGAGACCCTTGCTTTGTCACTTCGTGCATCTGAATCGGATCACCTCTGTTTATTGATGAAGCTGAATCGGTACTTAAAAGTTCCCACCTTACCCAGAGCATCCTAATCAAGTGTGAATTGGTTGGTGCTTACTGTGTTGAATCTAAAGATCTTGCTTTTTATCTTGTATATAGTGAGACCTGCTGCTACATTGATTATCTCCATCTATATTTGTTGTGGTGTAAGGGGTAGAAGAGCCAGATAATCTGCGATGTCTAAACTTTCAGATACAAAGTTGTGTTGAAGAAGCCTCCATAGTGTCGTCCTATCCAAGCTGTCAAATGTTTTCTCTTAATCAAGCAAGTCATTGTAAAGTGTCGAGTCCCATTCGATTGGTTGCTCCACCATGACCAGTATTACCGATATTGGGTCGGTACACGATTAATTCTTCTGGAGTCCGGCCTGTCTGACTTATTGTTTTCTAGTTGGTCTCCTCAGTAGTTTCCTCTCCGTTGAGAAAATCATCAAAACATTGGAACCAATGGCTGAGGGCCATCTTAAATTCACGTCTTTTAAAGTCTCTAACTACAGGTTACGATTGACACGTGGATCCCAACTAGGAAATCTACATCTTTTAACATGCTTCATTCCAATTATCAATAACCATGTGTTTGATTTGACTTTCTACCGACCTACCCCAACCCGTAAAACAGAATGGAGTGAACTACTGCTCAGTAAACTCGTCCTTTGATTAGCAAACGGATATCTTGCCTATTCCATACATGATGCAAGTTGGCAGAAGCCAGTCGAGCCTTCGGTATCCGCACCGAGAATAGTCTTAACGCCAAAACCGAACCACGATCCAGGAAAATCTCAGGGGTTATTCTATCAGGTCCTGTTGCCCTCCCTCTCTTGAGATTGCCTATAGCCTTTTCAACCCCATTAAGAGTAGGAGGACTTGCATCAACTTACCATTCAGGTTGTTTGTCGATGGTGAGTAACTAAACTCTGACTGTAGGCCAGTTTAACTGTTCCCTTATATGTTCTGCCCATCGATCCAGTCACTTGGATTGAGAGTTAATAATAGTCTCATATTTTTCCGACATGGTTTCACTAACACTCAAATTCCTAATACCAGTTTCTTTTATAAGTCTGTTGTCTATTGCCATCGCCTTTTCCATCTATTTTGGTTTTGTGACCCACCACTGTTCGCGATCACCGGGTAGACTTTTTATCAACCTGTGTTTAAGCTACCTCCGCTTTTCATCGTGTTCGTAGCCAGATGGGATGAGTTTTCAAGAGCCCATCGGTTTACTAAATGCCTTTGAGATCTGATCTCTCCTAAGTTTTAGGTAACTTACTGGTAAATATTATTGCTAATTCTGCAGCGTTTGGGGCATCACTTTCATTGGTGACTAACTGATTTTAATAGTCTGGGATCTGATTCCCTTTTGAATGAACGATTATATATACCAATTAAATAAATCTTCCGTTTATTCTCTAAACTGTACATTTATGATAACCTTGTTTTGCGACTGAGGTAATGAGAAGCCGAATGCGTTTTGAGTTGGGTGAATTTCCTTCAGACGCTTGCGTATGCCGAGAGACAGAGGAATGAGAGGCACAAAGGTGAAGCAAATCAAAGTAAGGCTGAAAAGGAGAGTGGGTCGATTCCATTTGATGAAGCATGGCTAAATAGTTATAGGCATAAATAAGCTAGACATGTGATAAGCGAAGTTAGAAATGTACATAATCACAAACTCAAACGGAAACAGCCAATTCTGTAAGAGAATAATCAACAAGGTCAAGAGACATGTGAATAATGACTCGAAGAGAACGGATTGATAAGTTTGTTCAAAGGTTAATGACAAGTCATGTAGACTCGCCGTATTAGTGCACTCTATAACGCCCCCTTGCAGAAAATTGTCTACTAATTTGAAAAAAATGTCAGTTTTTGAAAGTAACACTGAAATTGTAACTGGTTAGTGTTAGAAATAATTGGCAAATATAAATGTATGCTTTTGTACAGAGTACAATGATAATTAAGGCGTGAATGTGTACTATGGGAATGTGTAATGTTTATGTAACAGAATAACACAAATGAAAATGGTGGCATGAAATTCTAAGCAAATTAATAAACGTATTGGAAAAAATTAACATGCATTTATGATGTAACTGTCGGGGCAGTGATATAACCATGTTCGTATAAATAACTTCGAATAGCGTGAAAATAATCTGTCACTAATATTTTATCATTTGTGTGTATGATGACAGAAAGAATCACGAAAATATGTAGAGCAAAACATAAGGAAAATTAATTTGTC